GGGGAAAAACAGCTATAGGTAGGGTGTCACAGGGTTCTGTCCTAGGCCAACTGTTATTCAATGTCTTTATAAATGACTTGGATGAAGAAATTGAGGGGATTCCCATGAAATTTGCAAATGACACAGAACTGGGACAGGCAACTAATGCTGCATAAGACAGAAGCAGGATTCAAGATAACTTTAACAGATTGGAGAACTGGGTCCAAACTAACAAAATTAATTTCAATAGGGACAAATATAAGGTTCAACACCAAGGCAGGAAGAACCGGCTGCACAAATATAAAATGGGGGACACCTGGTTTGGCAGTAGTAAAGGTGGAAAGGATCTAGGGGTCTTAGTAGTCCACAAACTTAACATGAGTCAACAGTGTGATGTAGCAGCAAAAAAGCTAGTGCTATTTTAGGCTTCATCAACAGAAGTATAGTGTCCAGCCAAGGGAAGGAATAGTCCCATGCTGTTCTGGCTTGTTCAGACCACACTTGGAGTACTGTGTCCAGTTCTGGGCACCACAATTTAGAAAGGATATTGACAAGCTGAATCATGTGCAGAGGAGCACAACCAAGATGGTCAAGGGTCTGGAAACCAAGCCTTATGAAGAATAGTTGAAGGAGCTGGGTATGTTTATCCTGGAGAAGAGGAGACTAAGAGGAGATATGATAGCCATCTTTGAATATCTAAAGGGCTGTCACATGGAAGATGGATCAAGCTTATTTTCCTCTGCTCTGGAGGCTAGGAACCAAAGCCATGGATTCAAGTTACAAGAAAGGAGAATCCAATTAAAAATTAGGAAGAACTTTCTGACAGTAAGAGTTGTTCCAACAATGGAATGGACTCCCTCAGGGGGTTGTGGACTCTCCTTCCTTGGAGGTTTTTAAGCAGGGGTTGAATGGTCATCAGTCCTGAATGCTTTAGTTGAGATTCCTGCATTGCAGGAATTTGGACTAGATGACCCTTTGGTTCCCTTCCAACTCTACATTTCTGTGATTCCATAAAAAACTCTTTCTAGCTATAAACTCATTTTCAGTGCCATTGTGGGCAGGGCAGTGTATAGCCAGCCAGGGTCAACCCTCCTTGTTCCTCAGACCAAGAAGACTGAATTAGAAGACTGAATTATAGAGGTCATGAAGTTCCACCAGGCCATGCCAGAGCTTCAAGGGAGATTCCCTCCTGGTTTGGTTGGTCACCCTGAAGGCCAGTTCTGGGTGGTAAACATAAAGCTGGAGCCTTATCTGGATTTTTTCATACCAGCTACTGAAGACCTGCTGTGGGCTATGAGCCCCAAGCTATTCACACAATGAAACAGATCACCATAACTTCCATGCAAGCTGGGCTTTATTACTACCTCTCCCATCACCATGAAATTATAGATGCACTTAGTATTTTGACTTTTAGCTATCGTTTTGGTTTACTTTTCTATTAAGACTTTTCCTGCAGTAGGAGGAAATGTTTAAGAAGAAGAAAATACTAAAGTATACCTTTTGAAAATGTCTCCAGTTTACTAGATATGAAATGTTAATTTTTTTGGCCAACAGTCATGTATGCATGTGAATACACACACACCCCTAGTTTAATGAAAATCATTCAAATAGAACCTTCCTGTACACTGCAAGAATTATCACAAGGGGGCATACTGAAACATGGTCACTTATTTTAATCACATTTGGCATGAATAAAACTCTGGTTAACTTAAGCATTTTATCTCTCCAGAGGCAGAGATATGCTGGCCTTTTAAAAGCCAGCTCATCAGTAAGGCCAACCTGGCAGCTGCATCGCTTTACTTGAGGGCTAAAGGACTTGGAGTATCAAACCACTTGCAAAGTCAGCTCTGAACCCTTTCAGACCTGGAGACCTAGAGTGCAGGCTGGTCATGATGTTTTGGCACATCATCATCCTAGTAAATCTTGGGAAACTGGATCACAGCCTGTTCCTCCCAGGCTGCTATTGTCTCACTGTAAATTTGAAACAAAGTCACGCTAATGCTGAAAGTGTGGAGCTGGCCAAGGTTCTGAACTCCCTTGGCTTACTACAATGCATTGAGCATTGTGCGTTTGAAACCATAGATGAGTCCAGCTTGAATGCACTTTGTTCAAACAGATTTTATGGTCCTTTCCATATTTGCTTCCCGGCTTGCATGCTGGTAGCAGTGGATTCAGATGAAGAGTAACCAGAAGTAGGGGAGCTTATGGGATTCAGGTCTTGTCAGTCCATACTAGGGATGGAGGAGAAAGTAAGCCAGTCTACATTTCAAAGCAAAGCAAGCAAATTAAACAGACCTGGACTTATATGCAGATCTGGATGTGGCTATCAGTTAGATTGTGCAACTCTGAATTTTGCAATGCCATCTACGCTAAAAAAAGAGTGCTTTTAAAATGAGACTGAACAATCCTATATGTGATTGATCTCATATGAAAATAAATGGAGCAGAAAAAGACTGATCCATCCATCCCTAGCCCACATTCATGCCACCCCCACCCCCAGCATTTCCCTAGTACCCATAGCTTTTTCCTGGTTCTTGCCATTCAAATGCATAGGCTATTTCCTCTACTCTGTTAA